TTTTTCTTATAAGCACTTAATATGAAGTTCTGTCTTAGGCATAAGGGGTAAAACTATGCAATAATTTGCAAGGAAAAGGCAAAAATAAAATAAAAAATAAACTATTCTGTGTAGCAGAGTTTTGTTTTTTATTATTTCCTACCACAATAACCTGTGAGATTCATCTAGACCTGACCTGCACATTGGGAGTCACTGCTCTATACAGTCAATCTTATAAAGGCAAAAATGCCCAAAAAAAGCTGCACACCTTTTAATTTTGCATTGGAGAGTGAGGGAATTATGTTTTTTTAACAGCTAATCAAATAATAAGTCTTTATTAATATGTAAAATGCTGTTTACCTGGACAGGATCATGTGCGTGCGGCCATGACTTGTATCCGATTCTTCACACATGGAGCCAGTACGTACCTACAGCTGGGAGAACAGCAGGTATATCTCTTTTTGTCCCAAATGTTAATGCAATTGTCCAAACTTTAAAGAAAATGTCCCTGCTCATATGAGGAAATTGACCCTGTCCTTGACCTTTGTACAGCGCTGGTTGGTCAGAGCCAAAGAGCACCTGAGGACATACCTGCAGGAGCAGCAAGGTCGGGGTTCTGGGAGGAAGAAGTCTCAGGTCAACTCATTCAGGAAGATGATGTCGTCCAATGATGTGTCCAGGTTATTTAATATACCCTTATTTTAAATAACGTAATGGAAATAAATCCACACTTTTGCCTCTTGATTAGAATTAAGTGCAATTCAATCTTGGGGCCTTCATTTCTTTGCTCTGTTACTTCCACTTTTGCTACCTGTCAAATAGACTTTTTGGATTTGTTTTTTAAAAATACCTCTGCTGTCCTATTTTTGTTAGGCACATGAACACAATTGAGCTTCAGCTTGAGGTGACCCGTTTCCTCCACCGCTGTGAGACTGCGTCCTCCTCCAAGGCTCCACAGACCAATACACCTTCCTCCAAGTCCCCTGGATCCAGCTCACCACCTACACTGTTTGGAGGAAGCCCTATGAAAGTTGAGGTTGCCTGCAAGGTGAGGTTCTGGTTGTGACTAACCCAGTACTTCCTGTACTTCAAAATCTATAATCCACTTCAGATAGATTAAGATGGTTAAAAGGTCCCACCACCTACCTGCTGACTTAGAGATGTGTTGTAAAAGGATACACCCCCAATTTTGGATGATATGTTGCTCCTATGTTGTTTGAATGCAATTATTTTTAAGTCACTTTGGATAAAAGCACCTGCCAAATAAATGTAATGTCATGTAAACATCAGTTTTATATATTTTTTTTTGAAGCCTTAAAGTCAGATGTTTTTGCTAGTGATGAAAATAAATAAGGGTTGAAAAAATAATGGTTTATAAATATCCAAATAATATGGCTGAATATGTTAAGTTTAACTTATTAAGAACATCAGCGTAATATAAAATATACATATTAAAAGTGAAATGCCTTATTGGGATTGTTTTTTGTGTTTCATGTATATTATGGTTATGGGAACATTCATTCATTCATTTATCATAAACTAATAGTCACTAATGTCTCCAATCTGTATTTTTGCAGGTGATGCTTGGAGGAAAAAACATAGAAGAGGGTTTTGGTATTGCATATAGAGTCATACAGGTATGTTCTATATTAGATTTGCTATGTTTACTGATTTGTTTGATTAGTTTCTCCTTTAAAATTTAAGAGTGCATATATCTGGCAACAAATCACATTTGTCACCATATGTCCTTCACACATCTGATTTTCACCAAACGTTAATCAGTTCTTTGTGTAAATCCATTCAAAACATCAGACAAAAAATGAGAAAAAACCTAACCCCCTGTCCAGGTGGCCGTGCTGTGATTTAGACACTGAAAACATTAAAAGGAAGCTTTCATTAACTGATTAACTCACTGTACAAAAACTACAATACAGCAACAACAAAACTCTGACACTTTGAAGATACATAGTCAAGTAGAGTCAAGTGAATTTTATTTGTTTTGCCCCGGAGTGACAAATTTGCCTCAAACAGCATCTGTTAAGTGTTTGTCTTTGTCTTTCTCTCTTCCTGCCTCAGGACTTCCAGCTGGAGGCCCAGGCGGTCTACGTGCGGGCCGGCCAGAGGCTTGTCCGACAGAGGCAGTATGGAGCCGTACGGCAGCTACTCAAATGTGTCGGTGAATCGGGGGCTGCCACCAAAAACGACTGTGATGCCCTCATCCTCAGCTGTGTCTCCATTGCAGATAAGGGACCCGCTGATGTGAGTGACAGAAACCTTTTAAAGATAGATGACTGTACTATTTTAACAAATCATGACCATGATTTGGCTCCATGTTGTCTGTGCTTGTTGTCCTTTATCTGATTTAGGCCAAGGAGCTGGAAAGTCTCATTCTGGAGACCAAGAGCACAGAAAGCAAGGTAGTGTAAAACTGATTCTTCTCTGCCTGTCACTGTTGTTGCTTTTCCTGACTGAGGCTGTTTATTTCTAAATGCAGAAATCACAATTTCGCTATTCTCAGGTCACTTTGGTTGACTTCCCAAGAAAAATTATCCTCTTCACTTCTGAAATCAATCTTTGTAGACCCCAGAAGGTTGTCTAATTCCCTTCATATCATCCCTCTGTCTGCAGATCAAAGCCTACCTGCTGTGCAGTAAACTGCGACCGGCGTACCTGCAGGCGGTGAAGCTGGAGCCGAGCCGAGCCGGCCCATTGGTCCAGGACGTCCTTCAGGCTGCAGAGGGAGCACAGGACTCAGTGATGCAGAACATCTGTCGCCAGTGGCTGTCCGAACACCACAACAAGTCGTCTCAGCAGCGCCAGGGCCGACCCAATGCCAAGTAAAGGTAAAGGCACTGTCGGCATAACAAGGGATTACACACACAGCACTTCAAAACCGACGGGCCGCAGATGAGCTGCAATTAAGAGGATCCAGGGTTTCTGACGTAACACGGTTCTATAAAATGTGTGGGGAGGTGATTAGGGAGCTTTTAAGATAAGAAGAGCAGCTGTTGCATGGTACATGGTGTGTGGTTCACAGCTGCAGATTACTAGAATATATATACGTTTCTATTGCAGTGGAAACTAGAAACCCTGATGATCACTTTCTGTTTATGTTTGTGTGGCAATTCCTGTCTGTAAAACGAATCTCTGAATCACCGCCGTGCTTTATTTCCATTCCGGAAATATTCTGCTGTTATCCCTCATGTGTACAGTAGTTGGGAGAGAACAATGCCACCGGAATGGCAACAACTATTACATAACAAAAACAGTCTTACGCAATATACGCATATCTGTTACTCAGTATTTGACTAAGATTAATCTCCTACCTCAGCCAAAAGGGAAAATATCTTAAACTGACTGAAGGCTTCTGACAAATGTGTTACTTGTAAGTCTTTTTTTTTTTTTTTTTCTCATTTTTATGGACATGTTAAACTGTGTCCTCTGCCAAGAACAATACATGTTCAATCTTGTTTCTGTAGCCCTGGTGAAGCTGTTTAACTGTTTTACCTGATATTGTATAGCACATTTTACAGCCAGCTTTCAGGGTATATTCCCTTTTGGTAAGGGAAATTAATTGCAAACAGAATTTAACTTATTTAAGGGCATTTAAGATGTTTTGAGAAAGAAACATGAACGTTTTTTAGGTTGGATACAGAAAGGGAACCCACTTATAGATCATGGTATTGATGAAGTTTAATTATCTAGAAAAACAAATCTAGTTGATCAACTGGTCATTGGTTTTGTCCTGGATGGCTGGTTTTTGTCTCATCTTGTGTCTCCTGTTTTGGTAAGAATTACCCAGAGTGTTGCTAATTTTACATCATGTTCTTCACTCTGTTCTCATGGGAGATTTGACCCATATCAGTGTGAACTATATAAATCCTTAATGAATAACTTCACGCATAATCAGTCAAATAATGTATAAAAAAGGGACATCTGTCATATGGTTTTCTTTTGATGTGTAATTCTATTTTTACCTTTTGTTTCACAAACCTGCACCACGGCCAAAACAGTGCAAATGTGTTGTCCGTCTCCACAAAACACGTTTTTAGTTCATTTACACCTTTAAAATTGTCACTTTTGTTGCTGGAGCTGCCTTTTCAAGGATACTAGAAAGCATATTTCAGAGAAACTGTTTACGTGGTCAAGAAGCAGATCTTTATCTAGAGGAGATCCTGTGTCGTCCCTTTGCCTTGCTTCCCTCTGCTGCACTAGTCTGAAGACTGAGACTAAAAATCTTCCTGTGATAATAATTGCTGATCGGCAAGAGATGAAAAGAAGACTTTTGAGATGCACACGTTTGACATTCTTGCACTCTAATCCTCCTTAACTTGGACTGTTGTCTCATCACTGCCGCACTTTATACTTAGTGAGTTCTTTTGGTAAAAAATGTTAAATATGTAATATAGTAACTGCTTTGAAGATGCAGGGACTAATGATTTTGAAATGTAATTGATTTCTCCATCCCCTGTAAAATAAAAAAAATGAAACAATAAAAAAATGTAAAATACAAAAATATGGAATATTAACCTTAATGTCGACTAGTTTCTTGAAATGAAAGGAAAAGTTTGACATTTTAGGAAATATATTTGCTCTCTTGCCTTTAGTTAGTTGATTGAGACCAGTCTGGTTGCTAAATGTGAAGCTACTGCTACCAGCCGGCTAACTTACCTTAGCATAATGACAGACAGACAGACACTTTATTTATCCCCAGGGGAAATTCAAGAGTGTATGCTTAGCAACGTTAGCCGGCTGCTAGCCTTAGCTTCACATTCAGCATACAGACATGAAAGTGGTATTTTTATATATATATATAATATAAACTTAACTCTTGGCAATAAAAGCATATTCCCAAAATGTCTAACGTTTCCTTTTACAGTACCACTGTGATCAAATGTGTTTCTGCACTGATTCAACTGCATCCAACATTTCACAGCTTACGATGACCCATTTCTCTGTTGTGTGTACAAATCCAGTTCTTACTTTGCTGATTGATAGAATTTCAAAGGATACAAGCACCCTTATAATAATATTTATGTTTATTTACATCAATTGTAAACATTCAACTCTTAACATGAATGTAAGTGTAGTAAAAGGCATGTTTCACTTGTATAAAACACTGAATGTAAACTCTTGGCAACCTTGCATGTGAATGCTGAGAGGGAAACATGAGTAGGGAGATCCTTATAAATGTAAAACTGTAGTTCCTCCAGGAATGTGCAGTTTTTGGCAATGCAGATGAAAAAAATCTTATAGTCATAGAAAAACCTTCTTATAATCTACTTTGACTACAATTATCACAAAATACATCTATGCAATTCTAGCGGTAATCATGGCTCAGACTGATGCTGATCTTAGATAGTTTACTAATTGTTGTTCAACCTGGAAACACCGTAAGAACCCCTGCAATTGTTTAGAAACGCTGGCACGAAAGTCAAGCAATTTAGCTGCAAATTCTGGAGAAATAATAAAAAAAACCCACAATACTTGATAAAGATGCTGGTCATTTACCCTGGTTTGACCCTTCACAGTATCCTACAGCATTACAATACATCAAGTTGCTTTTTTGCCTACACTGTTTTCACATTGTGTCACAAAAATAGAGAGTCAAAAAGTTATTTGTGGTTACATGACAATATAGTTGAGTGGTTTTGGTTTGAAGAGCTGTCGTTGAACACTAAAATACTCAAGGTATTATCATGTAATTACTGCATTATTACACAAAAAAGCAACTTCACATCATAGTACCTCTTAACAGTATTACCTGACTGCTTATTAGGTAAGAAACGTTCAAAGTACAGAACATCAAAACCATAATGAAATGAATGATAACAGAAAGGATAAGGACTCCTTTGAGAACTGAGATAGATGGCGGTTTAAAAGTTGAATCAGTCCCACTCGATGCCAAGAAGCTCACAGCTGACGTCCCACAGTCTCCTCGCTGTCTCCTCACTTCTTCCCTGTGGGGCTACAAAGGCAGGGGCGCAGTCGCTGAAATGAAAGGAGGGGGAATGATTGTTACATAAGACATAATGACGGTATGAGTCATCACTCTGCTTTCAGCTATCTCGTTTCTCTTTGACCTTGTCGTTGATAATAATGTCTAGTATCGTAATTCATTTTATCTGCCGACACTTTGGGGAAGGGCAGACCTGGGCAGAAACAACAAACTGCTTTTACATGTTTGAGCTCTTGAAGATTCATGTTTGGTTTTACAAAAGTAATACTTTTAAAAATGAGGAAAATGAGGGGTAAGAGAAGGTAAATTGCCCCTAATCTGTCTTTTTTTGCCCTATAGTACGTTTTAATTTCCAGTTAATTAACGTACCGAATCATCACTTTCATCTTACAATGATACTTAACTTCTAGAAGGACAAACTTACTAAGAAACTAATAATAAGGCATGTTTAAAGGATAAGAAAAGCACAACAACCCTGATGAGGGATGAAACGAGTAGAGCTGAAACATGCATGCCTCTATTTTCAATGGCTGTGGTTCCAGTGGGTAATTTCCCAAAGTCATTTCAGAAAACCACAATATGAAATGTTTAAACTTTGAAGTCAACCAACAGCTATGAGAATTACATTTTTTAACCATAGTGGCGTGTCTCCTGGGATGTCGGTCTGTTGGTCGCTCCACCACTTTGGTCCATAAATGTGAAATATTTATGTAACTGTAGGAGGGAATTACCTACAGACAAACATGGTGCCCAAGGGATGACTCCTACTGACTTTGGTGGTCTCAATATATTATATATATTATTATATAATAATAATAAAATATATACAAAGAATATAAAAGGGAATGAACTTATCCATAGCTTGGCTCAAGACTTCTAAATTGTCTCCTACATCTTACATAAGTGTAAGCGAAAGACTGACATTCTCTTCATTTTCAAGAGGTATATGATAAGATTATATTAATAATCAGTCATTGATGTAGACAAACGTTACTCCTTTCATCTTGTTGCAAACTTTTGCTCCCATGGTTACACTAACGCTTTGGGTTTTATCATTTTTTTCCATGAAACTGGGAATGAGACATTATTCTTTAACGGGTTGAGATCAGGTTTACCAGACTGCTTCTATGGAAACAAGTGTTTTTACATAATTTGAGACCTCGCGGCACATTTCCCTTCAGCTGTTAAAATGTTAATAATTCTCTGTGTGAGTAGCAAATGGGGGATTTTGCATCCAGAACCAGTTCCAGATGCCCAGCTTGTTGTTGCCAACCTGAAGTGTTTCCCAGAGATTGAGTGCAGTTCCTCTGCCACAGCACAGTAGATGCTGGTCTGTGCTCCTTCCCGTGGAGTTTTTAGGAACACGGAGAAGACGGTGAAAAATATCGTCATGAGAGTCGAATGTCTGGTCAGGTCAGAGTTCACTGTCCCCGGGTGGACGGAGTTCACCGTCACATTGGTACCTGTGAAGACAAACAGACCTACAAGCTCAAGTTAAAAGTCCCTTTGTGCTTTTCTTTTACTTTTCTTCAAGAGAAATTTCATTCCAATTTCCAATTCAAAAAATGCTGAAAGTAGAGGATGCAACATCTGTGCTTTGTTTGTTAACACTGTGTAAATAATAATGGGTGTCACATTTTAGATCAGAGCCCTTCATTTACTTGTATGATTTTTAAACTTTTTATAAACTTTTGTGCACTACATGGTCTTGAAACACCAACATTGCCAAAAAACAACTGGTTAAGTTGTTGTTGGTCTCACTACTAATCTAGTTGGTTGTTGTCTGTTTTAATTTCTGTGAGTTAAAGATGCTGTTTGAATTGATAGCGTTCTGTATTTGCGAGCCTTCACCCCCATTTCATTGGAAATGGCAAATACTGCCCATAATGCAATGTTTTCTACAGTTTAGTACCGTTTTTTTTACAGTATTTTGTCACAGTGCAGCATCCCAAATTGGGCACCCTTGCTCTGGACACCAAGCATCACTAATCCTCTCTCTGTTACTACTGCAGGCCGTCCACCTGTCCATTCTCCCATGTTTTATGTGTTTGTTTACATGCGTGTGTTTGTGTACCTTTGAGTCTACGCGCCAACTCTCTGGCAAAGAGCACGTTTGCCAATTTGCTCTGGCAGTAAGCCAATCCGCTGTTGTAGCTCCCCTGGCTGTGAAGGTCATGGAAACGGATCCAGCCGAAGTTGTGCGCGAGAGACGAGACCACCACGATCCGGGCCGGAGAGCTGCGCTTCAGCTGCCCGATTAGGAGGTACGTCAACAGGAAGTGCCCTGCCAGAAGTAAGACACATAGACAGTCTGAGTTTCTGTTCACCTGACTGAGCTTTCAAATTGTCTTTATAATTTGCATTTATTTATTATAGTACTTTCTGGCTGAGCAAGAGATCCAGTCAAACAAGAATTAAGGAAATATAAACTCACTTTCAACTCATTTAACCTTGCATTTTAGCTAAAATTGTAGCAAAAACAACAGGTTGCAACTGTGTACTACTGTGTATTTGTTAATAGTGATGGCTTCTTAAATAATGAAATTATCTATATCAGACAATCTCATAATTTACCATATTTTACTCACCACTAAAAAAATGTATCAGGATCCAAAAGCAGGTTAACTAAAAATGAAACCCCAAATTATGCTTATGAAATGTGAAATGTAAAACTACAGACTAAATGACTAATATGTTCCAAACTCATCTACAGCAGAGTAAATTATATGTTACGAGTTGCCTCATTGGGTATGACATTTTTCGATCCAGTCAGTAAATCCGTCAGGTTTTCAGTCCTGTTTTAAGCTTCGATTTCCTCATTGATTCGGATAAATGTCAACTCGGTCTTACCCAAGTGGTTGACTCCAATATGCATCTCAAAGCCGTCGATGGTTTTTGTGTAGGGGCACATCATCACCCCGGCGTTGTTGATGAGGATGTGAAGATGGTTGACCTCTGAAGAAGAGAAGCATCACAAATAAACAGAAGCACGGCAGCTGTGATAGCTGTTAAAGAACAACAACGAGGGGCTTTGTAGGTAGTTGTGAGTGTCAAACAGCGGCTCTGTGCTCACCTTGAAGGAATTTCTGTGCAAAGGCTCGTATAGAGCACGAGTCTGCCAAGTCGAGCTCTCGAACTTCCACTTGTGCTTTGGGATTCGCAGCTCGTATACTGGCCGCAGCCTCCTCTCCTTTGTTCACATCTCGGCACGCCATGATGACCCGGGCCCCTGTCGTGTAAAAAAAATAATCAGCTTAACTATGAAGAAGAAATCAGAACCTACATTAATTCATTATTAAAAGTGGTTTCTGGTTTAGGTTTGTTGCTCAGTGATGTTGTCGTCAAAGTTTGACCCACATCTTGCATCACTCCTCAGGTAAAGCATTACTGTTGTTTCTACCCACTTGGAACGGGCGAGCCGTCTTCAAATGGTCGCAATCTGCAACTACACCGCTAGATGCCACTTAATACCAATAGATCATCATAAATGTTTCACACTGGACCTTTAACAGTGGAATAAAGTTGATTGTACGGAACATTATTATGAATATATTCCTTATCATAACATAAATGTCAATATGTTATCCCATACCATAATATATAGATACACTTTGATATTGGATATAAACTTAAAACTTACAGATTTCAATCCTATTGTGTCCCTACAGAGGGGGTAGCTCATGGATTATAGATATGGGTGTCAAGAGGTGTTGTGCTGTGTATTTTTACTATAAAAAAGTCACCTCGCATTGCCAGCTCCAGGGCTGTCTCCTTCCCAATCCCTGTGTTGGCTCCAGTGATGAGGACTGTCTTCCCCTCCAGATCAGCTGAGGACTGACACACTCCTCCTGCTGCATATTTCCTATTAACACACAATGATTGATCCTTACAGCTCCCACTTTAATACCCCCCCCCGACTGCAGTCAGTAGCCTACAAGTCATGTCCCCATTAGGATTGGACATATGGACAGCCCTGGCTTAATTATTCATAGAGAAAACTTGGATAACGTGAACAATACTGGAGCGTCAAGTCGTACGACCCACGCCACTGAGCCAGGCCCGCCACATAACCAATAGCTCTGTTGGGAGTAAAGCACACATATATAACTCCTCCCACGCTCAGCCTCCTGATAGGCCCGAGCAGCTCTGATGGAAGACTCCCGGTTCATGTCTATGCATAGAAAAAAAAAAAAAAAAGCTCCACCATTCTGATTCATTGATTTTCTGCTCAGAAAATCAGCCACCGTCGTGTAAAATAATACAAAAATAAACCCTTTAAAAATGACAGCTTGGGTTAACTGTGCGTAATAACTGCCCCCCCCCAACGCAATGTAATGCCCTGTCAACCAACTAACAACCCCTACCACCGTGATGTGTTAAACACTAAGCGTTAATGTGGGAGTGAGTGAGGAGCATTGAGCGCTGCTTACCTGATGTGTGGAGCAAATAAAATCACCAGTAATGTCACCACTCCGAGGCCCGCTACAATTAATAACAGCAGCATCATGCCACGGGTCTGCGCCTTTCTGCGTCCTCAGCAGGATGCTGCTGCTCTGGAGGCAGAACAGCTGATGTCAAAGCATAAAGGGGTGCAGAGCGTAGAGGAGGGGGGGTGAAAGGTAACACCGTGCACGGAATCATGGGATTGTAGTTTTTGTTGTAGAGAGTTGAAGGATAAGAGATTTTACATTAAAGATTACATTTTATTTAACTTATCAGACTGTTTAATATAAGTAGTATATACAATTATTAGGGATTCAGCTCTCAACATTAATATTATCAGTACTTATTATCACTATTTATTTAATTCTGCCTTTTATTTACTGTAGTACACCTATTCCCATGCCTTATTTCCATCTTCTATATATGTACATATTTCAGATTTATTATTATTTTTTCTATATATATATATTGTTGTTATATATGACAATACTCTTCTTTTTATTATTTTCTTCTTTAATGTCTTGTGAGCACCTTGAGCAACCATAACGCAACAAGTATTTTTGATATAAAAAGGCAAAAAAACATAGTTTTCCTACCAATAAATTAACATTTATGGATAAGGAATTTAGCCATTCTAATAAAAGGAGATTAATCATGTAGACACAAGCGTCCTCATGTTCTATACATGTAGCCTTTATTATAAGAAATTAAGGAACTATTTCAAGAGAAAAAAATTGGTCCCTTCAGGAACCTAATCTGACTTTATAATGCAAATATTTTTAGGAACATTAAAAACACACAAAAAAAAGGCCACAACCACCATGAACAAAACAAATAAATAAATACACAAATATATAAACGGGTAAATAAAAGTAGTTTACATTGCAAAAGTAGAAAAAAAATCAAGTAAAAATTAAATAACTACAACGACTTGTAGTGTAAATTGTGTCTAAAAACTTCATTTCCCAGAAGGCGCAGTGAAAGGGGAAAGCGGCCTGTGCAGTGCCTGAATAAAATTGCTATCGGGGTGCTTTTAAAGTCGTTTTAACCGAGATTTTTCATTATTTAAAAGTTTGTTTTCATATAAGTAATCAAAAATGTGTTAGTTAGTTTAAAAAAAATACCGAGACATGGCCGTGTTTTTATTTTTGATCCGGAGTTTGAGGCCCTGGATCACGAGGACCATCATGCGGAAAAGTCCCGGGGATGTGATTATCATCAGAACAACAAAAAAAACACAAACAACCTCCCAGATAAACTTCCAGCTTTAACTGTATTTAACGAGAGGAAATAGCCGAGAAAAAAGCTCAACTTTAACACAAAATGTCGTCGGAGGAATTCGAGAAGTTGCACGAAATCTACAGATCGCTGTACGACGAGCTGAAGCTAATGCCAGAGAGAGTCCTCAGAAGTCACGGCGGTAAACAGTTCATGTTGTTGTTGTTGTTGTTGTTGTTGTTTTGCCCCCAGCTGACGTTAACCCACAGAGTAATCACAGTGATACATTTGTGTTCACAGAGGAGAGGAAGAGGCTGGTGAGGACCTTCGATGAGAGGCAGGGGGAGGCTGAGGAAGTGGTGAGCTGCTCTCCTTCTTTATCTGTTTTTTTGGGGGGGAAATTGAACCTGATTTTACTCTTTATTTGTTTCATGTGTTGTGTTTTAAGATGAACTGCATTGTTTTTAACCAGTGGGGGAAGTAGCAGTACCTCAGTGTTAAATACTCCCATTAATAAGAAATAAAGTCCTGCTTTGATTTATTTATTGTCTTAGTAAAAGTAGTAAATATTATCACATCCAGGCTTAGCACAGACTAATGCAACCATATACACATATTAATAAGTTATGTGTATATTATATAGATAAAGTTCAATCAGCACCTCTCTGTTCCAGTTTCAGTTTCATTATATTAAAAATTCAGTTATAGAAAATGGTGGAGGTGGGGCTAATTTTATATGCTTTTGGTGTTTAATTTACACAAATGTCCCATCTTTTATAAACTAAAATAGATTTTATATGTTACATTCTGCAAAGTAAATATGAACAATAGCTGTAAAATGATATAAAAGAGGAAAAAAGTACTATTATATGTTCCCTGTAGTGGAGTAGAAGTATAAAGTAGCATAAAATGGGCCTAAACATTGTACCTTTTGTACAGTATTAAAGTAAATGTACCTCCCACTGCTGGTATTGAAGCTAGTTTTGTACATCCGAATATAACGTGACCTAATCCAGTCATTGTTGCCCCGTCCACTTCTTTATCTGGAACTAACCATTACAGTGTTTCTGTCTCTCCAGTTACAAGGAATGGAAGAAGAGCTGCGCGCGGCCCCTTCCTCCCACAAAAGTGCCATGAGCACAAAGCTGCGTCTGTACCGACGGGATCTGGGCAAGCTGCAGAGGGACATGAAAAACAACGCTCCCGGCTTTGGTTCTCCTTTCCAGCCAGTGGAGGGAGGTCACCACGGCATCTATTCATCACAAAATCAACAAAGTGTGAGTGTGGAGCTGTGGACCTTAATAGATGCTGTATGAGCGAGGTGTCATCTCATTATGAGGGTTAATAACAGAACCGAAACCCCTTTATGTGTCTGTATGGTTGTGCAGTGTTATTATTGTATGATATATGCAGCTATAGGGGAAGTCCTTAGTATTTCTGCTTTCAGGCGCTTTTCTGGGGTATTTTTTGTTCCTGTAAATAGTGTAACATGCAGCAAAATTATCAGTGTAATTACAAGTATATTTAAAAGCAGGACATGTCTCACAAAGAAGGAATTTTACTGTGAAATAACCCCAGGAATGTATTCAACTAAACTAACTGATATCCATCTGAGAATGGCTTTTTTTTTTTCTCTTGTAAATGTTTATTACATCTTCTGTCACAATTAGTGTAATTAACCCAGGTTCGCTCTGTCATCTTCTTTGCCCACCTGTGCAGACACACTTGCAGTCCCAGAGAGCCTTGCTGCTCCAGGGCACAGATTCCCTGAACAACGCCAGCCAGAGTATTGAACGAAGTCAGCGCATCGCCAACGAGACGGAGCAGATCGGCACGGATATCATCGAGGAGCTGGGGGAGCAGAGGGAACAGCTGGACCGCACCAGAAACAGAGTGAATATATTTTTATAGTTATTCTGAAACGTGGTACAGCTCAGGTTTGGGTCATTATGATTATTATTAGTCGGATTCTTTTTATTACGTCAATATCGTGAGAAATAAAAACACTATTTATTATTGACGGCACATGATTTTGTTTAATCTATTCCGTCTTTTGTCTATTTTGTAGTTGGTGAATACTGGAGAAAACCTCAGTCGAAGCAGAAAAATTCTTCGTGCCATGGCACGGCGGTAAGTGTTTCCCCTAAAGCGGTTTAATTGATCTCTAAATGATTCAATGCTTAATGAGTATTTCTTAAGTTTTTGATTAATGTGGCGATTATATTCTAAATTTTTAATCTATAAAACATCACAGTATAGTGAAAAATGCCTCTTATGATTTCCTACAGCCCCAGATAAGATCTTCAGGTGACTTGTTTTATTCAAACAACAGTGCAAACCCCAAATATATTCAATTAACTGTCATGAATGGCAAAGAAAAGCAGCAAATTGTCACATCTGAGGAAGCCGCAACCAACAAATGTTACTTCACTCTGAATGTTTAAAATGTCATTAATTTATCCAATTTCTAATCCACCAAAGTGGTAACAGGCTCTTTGTGCTGTATCTTTCTTAAATGTGATTTTAAAGTCAAAATTTCATGAACCATTTCTGTAATTGCTTGTACAACAATGACCAGCTGCTTATTCTTTTTTTTTGTCTTGCAGGCTGGTGACGAACAAGTTGCTGTTAGGGGTCATCATTTTAATGGAGTTGGCCATTCTAGGTGCTGTAATTTATCTGAAGTTCTTCCGGTGATCAAACCGTACCATCTGAGAACAGTCTACGCTCTGGATCCAGGGCAAACCTAGACTCTCTACATCTGTCTCAACTGACTATCCAGAAGCAATAATGTTCTTTTTCTGTGAGTGCAAATAAGCACAATGGATCAGTCTTAAAGTGAACCTTTACCGAGCGGGGATTCTGTTCATGGGCCGGTGAAGTTTCATTTGACAAGAAGTTTTTACCTGTTAATGGACCAAACTCACAGAAACTCCACGGACAAACTGTGAACTGAGATTTGCACTGTTTTACCAAACTGTTAATACCAATAATGCCCGGATTATCTGGACATGTGGGGGCTGCTACAGACCCCAGAGACGATTCTCTGTAAAGAATTGTTCAAGCATGAGTTCGATCTACTTACTCCCACATGTGCAGGTTCTCTGGTAGCAGACATGTTACTGGTAGACATTTCTCAGATTGGGATACTTTATTATTATTTCTCAAAACAGTTGTATTATAATGCAGCAATATATGAAATACCACCAGTTTTTTTTGTGTGTGTGTTGTCCAGTATCCAAATGGTTGTATTAGGAATCATTTTCCTAATTTTGGGTACTCGGACCTGAGGCCAAATTTGTCAGTCAGAGGTGTGAATGTGAAAAATGGATGGGAACTCTTAATACAAGCAATGTTCTTAGCAGTTAATGATATTGTCTAATCACTGTATAATACAAAAGTCATGTTTGAAATAGGGTTCATTTATGGGCTTATTTGACAGTCTACACATCATTAAAGCTAATCTTTAACCTCAGTTTGGGATGTATCTGATAATTTTCTAGGATGGCAGCCAAAGGCCAGAGTAAAAAAAAACAAACAAAAACCTCTGCTGTCAAGTTGACGTCGTTACAGGCTGAAGCCCCAGACCGGACCAGGTTAGTGGTGTGTAAACAGCACCTGTTACTACGGAATTAATTCTCAAATGATAGGCGATAAGGTTATTTTTAGTGCTGTGTTTTTGAAGTGGCACATCTGCCATAATGTTTTTCTTCCGCGTTGTTATCATGCCTTACTGGTGTGACGCCAGGTACAAAAACATGTTTGGTGACCACCTTGTATGGATCGGGTGGAGGGTGGAGGGTGGAGGGAGAAGATAATGTTTGTTTTGTCTTTTTCTGAAGCGCTGCTTTCACGTCCCCTTAAGAAACTAATGTTATTATGGGTAAATACTAAAGTTGTATAACCCCATATAAATTGTGTAATATTTTATAAATGCTACTAATCAATAATTTAACTATGATATCAGTAATGCTGATATCAGTGGCCCCAAACTGCTGGCCCATGTGCAATTTCCAGCCCTCCATCACCCTCCCTCCTGCCTCTGAGACATAAAAAATATAATCCAGATTATTATTGTTTAAAATCAGCTGTCTCTAGCTGTAGTCAGTTTAAACTAACCCTTCATATACAATTCAAATAAAAACACTATTCTATTTTTAAAAATGTAGGTTTGCATTTTTAGTTTGTTAGATATGACGTTAGTAATGGAAATATTTTTAGAATATTGCTCTTTCTTGTAGTACTTGAACACAGAAGTGGCCCTCTTATGAGATGACAATACCAGGCTGAAGTATCTCAACTATTAAATGGATTTTCATTAAATTTTGTACAGATGTTCATGGTCCCCAGAGGTTGAAGCCTTTGGTGATCCTATTACTTTTCTGCTAGCAGCATCATGAGGTTGACATTTCTGTTTTTTAGTGAAATGTCTCAATAACTATTGGATGGATTGCCAGGACATTAATAATAATAATTAATAATCTCTTTGATTTTTAATCATACGTGCAGATTTAGTGAAATTCCCATCAGACTTAGTTTCCTTTGTGCATAGTGCTAATAACTAAATCTTAGCATGATAACACACTAAACTAACATAACCCCTTAGAGCCACTGGCATGACTGTAGACCATAAAGTCTCATTAAAATAGTGGATTTCTCATGTAAAAATTAAACTGTTTAGTTCTATAACTTTAAAACAAACTAAGGAGGAAATAAGACACCTGTACACATGAGCAAAAAATGTAATCACATTTATGGAAGACCAAAATATAAACTCTTTGTTACAAGGACAATAGTCATTTAGTGGCCTCATCAGGTCAAACATGGACTAAGCATTAGATCAGTTCAAGCAAAACATTTTTGCCAGCATTTGAATCAAAGCCAGATATTCATTTTCAATCCAATTGGTACTGACATTGTCAGTAAATATTATTAACACAGTAATTCTAATACATGTACTGGTTCATTGTGAAAATACAAAAAACTCTAAAGAACATACAGTAACCACAGCTGGTCCAAAAGTGCAAACACATCATTACTACTTTTTAGTAACTGGCACAGCCACAAAATGGTTTGGAGAGTCCACATTATATTGTGGACTTCAAACTAAGTCAAACTTGGTTTATCATACCTCTGAGGCAGGTTCATACTCTTGTAAACCAAACACACAAGAAATATGTGGCAGCTGTGTCGTCTAACACATACTACATACAGGAGCAAAATAAGTTAGTATTGCTGTTTAAATGAATGGTATTCCCATCAATAAGTATAGTGGTTTCTAAATTACGTCGAGGGCTTTTATCTCTGAATTATTAATGTGAACTCTATAACTCCATAAAAGCCCATTAATAGTTTTATAAATCCAAACATAATTTAGCTTTTGTCATTAAACAACACTAAGTGGCAAAGAGATGAGAAGAAGAACTTCAAAACTTTAGCTATTTGATTCAGTCTTTGTGGAATGCTCAGACGATGTTGATAAAGTTCATAGCTTTGCTTCATGCTCTCAGAGGCGGAGCTGCTCTGTGTCCTCCTTCGCGGGAGGAATCTCATCGATGGACGGGTGAGCGCCTTCTCTCGTCTGTCCCAGTGATGACGCGATGACGTCAACCGCAAGAGAGGCTGTGGCCTCCACTGCTTCCTGGGTGGCCCCCAGCACGGGGTTTACTTCTACCAGGTCCATGGCTGACAGCAGACCTGCACATAAACACATCCACAAGTTAGGAACTAACTACTGACAGTAAAAGCTCTTTTAAGGACACAGAAACAGACAAAATAAGCTGTTAAAGCAGCATGAAGCTGTCTATTGAGGATGTTGCGACCATATTTTGTAATGATCTGTACCTGTGTTATGGATTTCCTCTGTTATGTAGATTCCCTCCCTGTAGGTCAAACCTCCGTTCACTGGTGTTCCCGTGGCTGGAGCCAGAGACGGGTCAAATGCATCGATGTCAAAGCTCAAGTGGATCGGTCGCTGTTTTCTGTTCAAAGAGGTGGGAAAGTTAAAGTGTGAATTTAAGGTTCACTTTAACTCGGACATGAGCAAGACAGAAATAGATTTGAGTAAAAGTGAAGTATATTAAATCTTTAAAAATTATTATATAATCATGTTAAAATGTGTAACAGTAAAAGAATATTAGAATCTGTTCAACATACCTTGCCAGAAGATGATCAAAAGTGACTTCCATGACCCTTTGGATGCCTAGTCTGTCGATATCCCTCATGGTGAAGTACTGGATACCCAGGTTCTTCAGGATGTGGCTGTGATAAAAAAAATCCGAAACATCAGGAACTATTTTTTTACAGTGCTTACGTGTGGTTACGCTCACATAATCAGCCACATATGGAATGTACGTATAGTTTGTACTTACTGCTCTCCGGGGTCAACATCCCGCAGGCCAATGTACACCAGGTCGCTTGAGGAGAGGCATGGCTTCATCCAGGAGAACCCTGGGATATCTGGCATCTGTACAGACAGAGATACTGTAATATAAGTTGGGACAGAAGAAAACAACCACTACTGGGTGATATCTGGATATTCAACTCCTCCTAAACGCATTTCAAATACCGTCTGAAAGGTGGCTAAAATGTGCATCTAAACTGACCTGACCGGTTGTTCCAAAACTTGTTTATTGCCAAATATTTGAATATATATGTAATACTGAACGGGCCTACAGCTGAACAGGTGTTTGATGTGACTGTCTGTTTCTATGAGTGTGTTTTTTTGCTCTTGACCTTGATCAGTATTTTAATATCTGCCTACCAAATCCAACATTTGTGTTTGTTTCCTCCTTCGTATTACAGCTGCACAGAAAACTGAGACTACATTCATATTTCATTAAAATACAGTAACATTAGTCATCAAATCAGTATGTTGTATCTCAAACTGTGTATATGTATATACTAAATACTGCAAAATGTCACTGAAAGAGACTTGTTGTTGAAATCGATGGAGGTTCCTGGATTACTTCGAACACCTTTCTGTAAAGTTTAGTACCCGCTACAAAGTGCCTGCTGACGTCCTGTCTATATTTTGTTTTCAGTGAAGCCTAATGTTTCTCCTCACCTTGTCTTGCAGCTCTTTGAGCATGAATGCCACAGGCTGGCCGTGGAGGTTTCCTGATGGAGAAGTCATGGGTGTGTTTACATCTGCATGAGCATCAACCCAGATGAGACACAGGTCAGGACACTGCTGGGCATGCCCTCCCACTGATCCAATAGCAAGGCTGTAAAAGGAGAACAGTTCTTTAAATATCTGTGCGTCCTTGCAAGGGTGTTGTAGCACATATGGTAAAATGATAAACAGATATACACGGTTCAGGGCGCCTAAATACTGTACTAGTGGTACTGCATGGTTTCACAAGCTCTTCACGTACAACAAATTTCTGTGTTCTTACCTGTGATCACCTCCCAGCATGACAAGGGTGTGCCCGGCACCGACAGCTCTGCTCACTGCGCCAGACAGCATCTTATTCGCTGCACCCACATTGCGAGGGAACTTCACATCCATGTAGGGTTCATCCTTCTCAAGGTGGTGGAAGTTGAGGTCGCCAAAGTCGTGGACAGAGTAGTCTGAGGAACACAAGAACAAGAAACCATCAATTCAAGCCCTTGAGTCACTATTTTGGTGAGGTTTACAGTGACTACATATTGACACAGACACACACTGGCTGTTGCATGGAAGGAACCTGCAATCTGTTGGTTGTGGACAATCTCTGCCCCTGTTGTCTGCTTGTCAGAAACACTTGTGCTTTGAAGACTGCAGGTGCCATTTTCAGTCTAATAGCCCACATAGTCTACGGCCTGGACAGCATGACTAAACATGCATTTGTCTACCTTACAGTCTGAGGACGCTGAGTCATTCAATGCCAGTGGAACATTAGTGACGGAGCACTTTCCACTTGTCCAGTTTCCCCCGGCAGCTCAGGTTTCAGTCGCTGCAGTTCACATTATGGTATGTGGCTCCAGAAGTAAAGACCGAAAAATTTCCACTTAGTTTGGGACAGGGACTGCGGGGTAAACAAGTGATGTGATCCACCATGTTGGGGGCTCATCTGGCAACGTGAGCTTTGATGGCAGTATAGTGTTACTCTGCTGATCTAAGGGGAACCAATGTGGTTCATTTCCATTCGTAGACATGACAGGAATAGCCCTTGTCTTGGTGCAATCGTGAGCATCTATTGCATGACAATTAAAAAAGTATTTTAAAGAAGCGACGGGCTGCGACGTCTGCTTCTGTTTACCGTGAAATGCAAGATTACAGCTGCTACTGTAAGTGTGCTGTTTACTTAAGTTAAATCACAAAGAGAATTGGTTTGATATGTACGATTCTCCCCTGAGAGAGTTTTTGTCGTGAGAAGATTTCAAGATGATATGGTATTTAGTTCAGTTGGGGTTTGGTTTCATGTGTTTGGCTCAGCTACAGCTGTTTTTTTTTCACTGCTGCCAAACTGACATCAGGCCACCAGGACGATG